ATTAGTAACGATCCTGCCCTCCTCAGTATCACTGCTGTCAGCTGCATCTTTTTCCGCAGTTAGTACTTTCCTCCCACCAAACTTTACCAACTGCAGTGTTTCTGAATTGAAACAAAGGAAGCTGAAAACTCCAAACACCTTCTGCTCTACAGTAGCTGCCTTCCAAGACATTAAATAAACCAGTCCTGACTTCTGTTAGGAAGCCTACCTTATTTTCCTTAGGGGGGAAAAATACAGGGGGAAAAAAATGCATTTTGCATAATTAATGCTTCACATGACACTAGAACTGAGCAACTATGATTTAATTGCACTTGGAATGCAGAGAGTTGGATGCCATGACTTTGCAACCCATTTATTAACCTCCTTTTCTGCCTGTGCTATTTGTACTTGTTTCTGAGGTGCTGGGAGACAGTGAAAGTGCATTTTTACTGGTCAAATGTCTTCCTAGGAAATGACCTGAGAAAGAAATCCCAACTAAAGGTATTTGACATTCAAGAGTTTCATTTATTTTCTCAGGACTTCCATACCTAATAGCAGAAAACCACTCCCAAAATGAACGAAGGAATAAAGAAATCTCACGGAAGAACACCAGCTATGCCACTCACAGCTCAACATTGCTCAGAAATAGGACCCAGGACAGAAAAGATACAAAAACGAATCCCATGGGCTTTCTGGAGACATGTAGATGAAAGCTATTTGTCAGTATCGTGGTTTTGCTCTTCAACTCCCTAGATAGCACAGTGGATGTAAAAACACAGAAACGTGAGCGTGCTAAAACAGGGTGCTGCAGCTCACAGCTGCAAACCACACAAAGCGAAGGTCATAAGGAATAAACAGACCTCCTGTTATCAGCAGAGCTACGTTTGATTTGGAAAACTGTCCAGACTGGCTTTAGCTCAGGCCAACGGAGCATCCACCTCTTGCTTCCAGCAGAGAAAGGGAAAACCAGAGTTGCTACGGAGCTGAACAACTTAAATGCATACCTAGAAAGGGTGGAACTGGTGCTATGCTATGAAACTAAAACAGTCAGGGCACACTTAAATATAGTTAGCAGTATTTCCCATTCCCTCCACGTGGAACTCAGAATATCTAGCTACAGAATTCGCCCCCTTTGTGTGTGTGTGTGTGTGTCCCTAGTCTCTCCATAGCTGAAGAGATTAGGAAGTGCAGTCAAAGCAGGGGGCAGGGGAAGGAGAATGGCAGGAATCTTTATCCCTCCTCCCCAAACTCCATAGGCAGGGTTCAATAAATTCAGATGGCCCAAGGTCAGAAACAAACAGCACTGTCGGTTTAGCTGAAGTTGTCAGCAAGTCCTGGGACACTCAGTGGGCTTTTCTTCCTTCCGTTTTGGAGAATAGGGAAAAAGAACAAATCCTGGAATTCTAACAAAGTGATAGTGCTTCTGCAGCGAGCCCAGAACCACCACAGTATTCCTGACTTTAATACACCCATGAAGTGTGAGTACTTTCAGAAGTTCTTCAAAAGCCAGGCTGTACTGGCAGAAGCTTTGGACTTGCTCCCACTAGTAATTCCTGGCACGCAAGTAAGTACTTGTCAGCCCCATGAAACTATTCATGAATACAGAAATTCGCAGCATGGAGCCCTTACCATGACTTCTGGAGAGTCACAAGCTGGGGCTAGTTTGGCCTTTACCATAACTGTGCGTATGCCCGTACCAAACACCGTGATGCAGCAATAACAGATATTACCAGAAGCCTGGAGTGGTTGTTGAAAGCAATCAAGCTAAGATCATAAGGGGTTCCACAGAAGCAAACTGCTTCGCGGTACAGTGACACTGAGTGTCTGAATTATTTCTGCACTGTACCTTAGAGACAGATAAAGAACCATAGAATCCCAAACTGGTTTGGGTTGGAAAGAACCTTGAGATCATCCAGCTCCAACCCCTGCCACCGGCAGGGACACCTTCCACTAGAGCAGGTTGCTCCAAGCCCCTGTGTCCAACCTGGCCTTGAACACTGCCAGGGATGGGGCAGCCACAGCTCCTCTGGGCACCCTGTGCCAGCACCTCAGCACCCTCCCAGGGAAGAGCTTCTGCCTTAGCTCTAACCTGAACTTCCCCTGGTTCAGTTTGAATCCATCACCCCTTGTCCTACAGTCCCTGATAAAGATACAATCAAAGAAGTGATTCTAAACCAGCATGTTTCTGGATGAGACACGTACTAAGCATAAAATATTCCACCCGATGATGTTTGTACATCTCCAACACATTTAATCAGAAGCCTAAGCAATCTTGACACTGAAATACAAACTTATTTTTCCTCAAAATCAGTGTTCCATATTCTTTTATTTTAAAAATTCAGGAATGTGATACACAATACAATTAGCTCCCCACCACTGCAGTGCTCACTTACATGAGATTCACTGGTTTCATGTTTTGGGAGGGGGGGGGAAGGAGAAAAAGACTGTGCAGTGTTTTTGAATGCTCCCATAATTCCGGAACTGTGATCTTCAGAACAAATCAAGTCTGTGTAACCACACAAAGATAAGGTTAAAGAAAAAATCAAACTCTATTGCAAGCTAGCAGGCTACAGTCGGGTCTCACACAGCTGGAACGAACACAAAACTTGTGTTTCTGCTGCTGTACAGCCACCAACCTGACCTGGCTATGTGCTTCCAGGGAATTTACCATCGAGGGCTGAAGAGACTAAAGGGCCACATTAACACCAGCTGGTGCTGCACAGGCAACACGGCACAGGACAGAGAGACCATGCAAGTCCCATTCTGCCCCCGCCATCATCATCATCACATCTGCATCCTGTCCGGATAATAAAAATAATGGAGGGGTAGGAGGAGAGCTTTTTGTCTTTTAAGCTAGCCATTGCCTGCAATGGACACAGAATAGAAAAATACGACTTCTGGCACCAAAACAAGATTAAATAGTTACAATGGAAGTAGCGACTACAACTCCATCTATTCAGATGCATTGACTGAGACTGTTAACAAATGGTGGCAACTCTCAAGACTCAGTAGTTGCTCTCTTCTTCTAAGAGCAACAGGAGAGAAGGAAGTCAGGCTTCTCAGTGCTACTATGGTTTGTCTTCGTGCTTGGGGGTTTAACAAACTAAAGAGCAGTAGTTCTAGGGTGCATCAGTGATATCCAGCAGGGCCTCAAGAATTCATCCTAATAACTGTGACCGATATTAAACTAGTGAGCAAAATAATTAGTGAAAGTTTACCATAAAAAGCAAGGATACACATTTTAAAAAAAAAAAAATAGTACTTTGTTCATTTCAAAATTTACTTGGTTAATACTTTGTAGCATACTAGCAGTTGTAGCATATTCTGCAAATGTAGTCTTATACGAGATCTTACTTAACAGTCAACTCTAGATCATATACAGGTAACAGAAGCAAGAAAGAAATTCAGACAAAACGAAAACATATAAATACTATATTAACACATTTAAGTTAGTTTATGAGACTATACAATAAGCATAAACACAGAAAAAGGCGAGCGATGCTCATGGCTGTGATGCACCAACATCCCCAAGCCAGCACAGAGCTGAACCGACCCAACCATACATCCCAGCTTCCTGTGGGTGCATCTGAGCAGCCAAGAGGCAAAATTAACTGCACCCAAGCTAACAAACCCTGTGAGAGGGAGCTCGTGTGAAACTGGACTGAGCTCCTCTACTTTTCCAATGCACCTAGCATTTGGCCAACGCATTGGCATGCGATACAGAGCTAGTCTGGCCCTGTAGACTGCACAGTTAATGTACAACACTGGTAATCCACCCATGGATAATCGAGAGTTGACTGCAATGCTCTGCTGAGAAGTTGGGTAAGACCACTGACATGACCTGGGCCAATCCAGGTCTGAGGAGCAGCAGACTATTTTGAACTACTTAGGAGCAATTACCATAGGAGACGTGTTAGAAATGCCAACTAGGAGGTGTTCTGCATCCGGAGGCAAAGCTACATTCCCTTCACTAACAAAACATTCTTTTCTTTAAAAAAATCTACATTTAAATACTGTTAAAAACCTGAAAACCACAGCATCAAAGAATTTTGTAAGGCCAAAACGATCCTCAGTTCCCTCTGTTGTGCCTAGGTATTGCAATACATTTGTAGAAGTAGTAAACACCATGTAATTTAGTATCTTACACTCCTTCCAGTGCCTTCCCGTAAGACATCTCAGACCTCTTTGCACAAGAGTTAAGCCTCACAACACCCCTGTGAGGTAGGTATTAATCCCATTTTAAGATGGGGAAACTGAGGCAGAGTGTTTACCATGTCCACAGCCATAGAGCAAACAATGGAAGATCCAAGATGCTTTCCAGTTTTGAGCATAGGAGCAGTCAATTAAATCACACAACACTGTATCCCATACATAACTTGAGGGTGGATCGAAAGGGTCAGGCTTTTACTTAGATCTCTTGTGTGTTTTATCTTCAACTCTCATTCAGTCTCTGCCGAACTCAGAGAGTCCATCGACCAGTTTCTCCTTTGTGAAGGTGTAAGTTGGCAGCATACTGTAACAGCTTCTTTAGAGCCAGTTGTCAGTTAACCCAGTTAACATTTTAAACCATAAATTTGGCTACTTAAGAGAAATTATGTGATACAAAAACATGCCAAAGTCTGAAACACAGCAATGAAATCCTGCTCCCTGCCCCACTTCCTCAAAAGTCTCCGGAAGGCTCCTGAGGACACAGGGGAGGGACCAGGACTACTGTCACAGCAGGTGCTTACAGACACACTCAGCTACAAGCAAAATGCATCACTGAATTAGTTGTTACGGAGGCGACTGTCTGTGCTCAAAAGCACAAATTAGACTGTCGGTGCTTGGCAGACTTTCCCCAACAGAGCACTTCCTGACATAACTAATTCTTTTATCTTAGTCAACCGAGCATCAAGTGAAAATGAAGCTCCAGCTCTTCATTCATAGCACTGTGAGTCAAGGATTCATTAAACTTTGAAGAGTTTTATGACCAGACACAACTTGGAAATAAGGAAAAACACCAGAAAAATCCACGAAATATGAAAGGATGCATTACTTTATCGGTCAGTCTCACGTCCTGATCACAGAGCACTATACAGTAGCTTGAACTTCCACGCTGATTGAAAAACACCCCTTTCACATCTGATCTTTTCACAAGCAGTTGATTTTAATCACCTCACTACCTTACCAGAAAAAGTGGGGACAGTTTCTAACAATCACATGATGTTCTCTTTAAAATATGCTATATGATAAATCCATTAGAAAAAGCCTTCACATTTATTATTATATAGGTTTAAGAAAAATATGTGAAACTGCAAAGTGGTTTCCAGTTTTAAGTAGTTATCTCTTTAAAAACACTCTATGAACTTTGGTTTTCCTTAGGGCTTCTAAATAAACAATATATTAAAATATCTACAAATCAAATATTAAAGGAAAGAGTAGGTCCAAGAAATCCATAACACAGACTGAGTTCCTACATGCTTATCCCTCAAATACCTTTTCACTGGAAAAAAAAAAAAAGTATTTCAGTTTGAAGCACAGCAAAAAGTGTCTCTGCTGAAATGTTGAAACTGGTTTTCTGAAGTTGTTACAGCATTGGTGCACTTTCTGTCTGTCTCAGTACAAAGTCAACACAAACACATTGAATCATGACAGTGATGTTATGTTCTTTAAAACAAGCATTCTAGATTTAGCAGTATGACAAGAACAAGGACTTCAGCAACTACACTACTTGGCAAAATTGCATCTCAAATGTCTGTCTCTTCCTCTTGCAATAGAGCTGCTGTCAAAGTCCCCAGAACCCAGGTAGCACCACTCAGGGAGTTACAAAGATGATTCAAACTGCTCGTTTTGGTCGGTGTTTGCCTCTAGCTTAACTGAAGGGGTGCTCTCCGGCTTAGTCCTCCTAGTTTTTGGAAATTCAGTGACAACTTCTGAACAAGAAATACTAAGTGATTTTTCTGTCTTCTTTGCAGTAATATCTTCTCCTGCTCCACAACACTGCTTCAAAGCACACTGAGTCCTGCAAGGAAACTCACATTTCCCTCTCCCTGATTCAGAGCCAACACTGGCAAACTCAGGCTGAATGGTAGTTGCATGAATCCCTTCATCATGGAAGATCTCTTTTATGCGCTTTGCCACCATCATGTATGTGGAAGGGTCAGGACACTTTATGTGAGCAGTGCCAATGATCCTACTGCCTGCTAGCTGCCAAATGTGTAATTCATGGACTGCTTCAACTCCTTCAAGGGTACGTAATCTTGAGTTCAAAGAATGAACATCTATTTGTTTGGGAACAGTCTGTAGAAGTATAAGGGCTGACTCCCTAAGTAACGGGTAGGTTGTGTAAAGGAGTATACAAACCATTATCAAACAGAGGATGGGATCTAAATACAGCAACCAGCATGGACCAGCCACCGTAATGCTCTCCTGCTCAGACCCATTTGCTGTGCCAAGCGTTTGGGATAAAGTAGCATTTTCCATGCAATGATTATTGACACATGGATTAAAGCAGGGCCCATCTTTGGGGCATGGATTCCACAACCCATAAAAGAGCAAGGCATTCACTACCACAATTACTGAACCTAGGGCATCTCCAAAAACATGCAGAAAAACTCCACGCATGTTAAGCTGTGCACTGGAGTCTTCTTCAACCTCCTCTACATCCAGAGGGTAATGACCAGCGTTGCCATTCACTTGTAAGTCAGTCATGTCGTCTTTCATATCACCTGATAAGAAAACAGCAAAGTGATTAGGCATATGCTGTAAAATCACATGTTACTGTAATTCCACGTAAAATAATAACCAACATTAAGCTTGCTTTCATTTGAGTACTAAAACTAAAACTAAAAGCAAGCAACTCTACCCATAACACTTACCAACATTTTCTCTAGCTGAGAAATATTCAGTTGTCCCAGTAAGTGATCAAAATAGTCTAGAAGGATTGTTTCTACAGAGCTATAAAGCAAAGTATAGCTTTATACTACAGAGCAGCAAAGTATAAAGATGACTGCACTTTAATTTGTTCTGCTGAAAACCTGTTTTCACGTTTTCGAGCTGTTTAACCACTTGACTACTCACTGCTCATTTCCTAAATAAAATGCAGAATTACAGAGCATATAGCAAAAAGCTGGTTAAGGAGCTAAGCAACTTAGGTTTTTCCCCCTCTCTTGGAAAGCCAGAAGGCTCATCGCATTGCTAAAAATCTCTCTTAAACCATAGGTCTGCACTGCTATTTCATAGTCAAATTTATGAGGCCAAAAGCTCAAAAGCTGTGTGGGTTCTGCTTCACAGTAAGTTCTTTTCAGGTTTAGTAGTTCATTTCCACAAGACTTCTGAATTCAAGGAAAAGGAAGTTTTCCTGAGATGGCGTGTGGAGCCAGCAGAACTGTGAGATACAATGAGCTGAGCTTTTAAGTCTAAATTTACTGGCAGTACTGACTCCAGGACAGTGTAAGCCACCACTGAAGCTCTCACAGGCTACGAACTGGTGTTATTCATATTTGAGAATTTTTTAAAAAGTATTAAAAATACATTTTTTTTTAGGCAAGTGACGTACAGCTGTTGAGTGACATAGAGGTGTTGAGTGACATAGAGCTGTTGATGCCCAAAGCCATGGCATGGAGCATGCAATGCACAGATCAACATTTTAGTGCCCTCCTTTGCTAAAACTGTCTGCAATACCACCACTCCAACCCACCTAACTAGCTGTATAGAAATAAATGCACACACATCATTACAAAGAAAAACATTTTTGAAAGGAAAATACATTCCAGTGTTTAAAATCGAAAGCATTTTACATGAGTAATCTCCCACTTTTCTTTAAAAGTTCTTCTGGGGACAGAAAACTTCCAGTGTTAAAGAAACAGCTACTGGCCACTGGCCCAACAAACTGAAACACGGAGCTCTTACTGCTTCCGTGGTTATTCAGTTCAAAGCTTTGTAAATATTAACATGTTCATAAGTGCTGCAGCTTCTGCCACTCCTGTGATTCTGTAATCACAAAGTGTCCACAAGTTCTTCCCCTCTGCAGAAGGGGTGGGCTCCTTCACATGCAGCTGTGTCCCAAGCCTCAGGCTCATTACCTCGTGCATCACACTTCAGTCCGAAAGCTCCAGCTACATTTTCCACACAAACCTTAGGGAGTTACGGAATATGGGACCTGTAACTTTCCATGGAAATCAATAAATTAGAAAAAATAGCTCTGGTTACAGAGTTCAGGCCTCAGGGTCCACGATAAGGGCAAGGAAAGAGGAAGACTGCTGCACACCACGTAGTTGGAGCAAAGGAGATCTGAAAAGTCAGTAAGACCTGTAACAGGAGACACTGTGCCAGAAAGCTCTTGAGATTATTTTTTAAATAGCAAATGGTTAAACCATGTCCATTTGAAATACACTCACTGAAATCTAACTACACACTTAAAGCGTATGCACAAAGCTACCCGTGCAGGACTAGCTGCTAAGACTATCGCTAGCTTTCCACTTCCACCTTAGGAAATCAGGATCTACCCCTCTTTGTACTTTCCAATGAAGGCATAGTACCACTCTCAGACACTTCCCTAGGCTTCACCTACACATCCTACGGCTTCCCACAAGTCTCCAAGCACCTCTACCTGTAACACTTGCATGGGTAAACTATGAATGACTCCATCCATTACATAATCATGGCAGGGCATAGGAGGAAATACAAACTTATTTTAAAGTTTCACTCTGACCAAAATTATGCCCTATTACCACCTAAATACCCACAACAAATTATTTGTTATTGCCAGAAGGGCACCCATGAGAAATTCCAGGTGACTAGCTCAGAACAGTATATGTTTTAATCCATGCTGTAAATTAAACTTTTAGTCTAGAACTAGTCCAAAACTCGACTTTTCACCACGTTTGAGCAACCTGCTCTAGTGGAAGGTGTCCCTGCCCTTGGCAGGGGGTTGGAACTGGATGAGCTTTAAGGTCCCTTCCAACTCAAACCAGTCTGGGATTCTATGCAAGCACAATTCCCAAGCCAAGGTATCTATCAGATTAACGGTTAAGGGAACTTTACATTGTTTGAAAGTAATTATTAGGATACTTTTGTGGGAATTAACCCAACATTAAGAGCTTATTACGCGGTCAGGAAAATGGTGTACTATATTCAGAAGAACTTTCCTATCCTCTTGCAAAACCTGTCTTCTCAAAAGCAATGTGGATTTGGGGAAACAGAGAGCTGCCTCTCCAGTGTGTAGGGGAACCTCTGACCACTGAAAATGAAACTGTAGCAAAGTTCACTCTGCTCAATTCAAGCTCAATTTCAGTGAAAACAGCAGTCTCCTGATGTCACCCTGAAAACAAAGGAGAGACATGGACTCTGAAGAGTGAAACCCCTTCCTCCTGGTTACAGGGATGCTGTATGGCTGAAGTAGAGAAGGAGCAATTGCACACCTTGCACTCTGCCAGCACGCAGCACTTGGCTTTGGCCAAGAGACTTCAAAATAAACTACCCAGGCTTCTGGATCCATTTAAAACATAACCTAAGCAATTCCCTCCCACTAAACAGACACTTTGATCACAATTGGGAAGGGGAGATTTTAAATTTATCTCTATGTGCAAATGAGTGGGAAGGAGCATGCTTTAGAAAGCTAAAGAAAACTAATGCAAAGAAGCCACATGTGTACTTTGACACCAGTGAGCTCCACATTCAGTGCCTACTGCGTGACTTCCACGGTAATTTCCAACACTTCTTCCTCTTAACACGGATGTCACGAAGAAGTAGGACGTTATTGCCATGGAATATACTTCAGTATGTTATGCTCAGGTTGAGCCTAGCTTCACAGGTAGCTAATAACTGACGCAGCTGCCAGGACCAAGGTGTTGAGCTGTGCTCTATTTGGTGTGCAGCCCGTTCAGATGGCATTAGGGCAACGTCTTGCGACAGCTTGTGTCTCTAGGCAAAACACTCTTGTCATGTGCCTTCTCTACCAGCACCAACTTTTTCCAAGGCAACCTGCTTTACCCCAAGACTCTTTCACACTCTGACTTGTCTTCAAGATAAACACACAACTTAGGGCACTCCTTTTAGCACTTGAAGGAAAGGTGTGAGGTTGAGGTGCAACAGCCATGTGCCCGAGAGCACCGCTAAGGAACTTTCTTGCCTCTTCCCGCTCACAAAGGACAGGGAGACCCCACAAAGCCAGCATGAGGAGGGACCAGGACACCCACCGCCCTACTCAGAGAAGGGTGCTCTCCCACTCTCCTGGCACTCCTGTGCTGGGACGGGACAGAGGTGCCGCAGAGCTTACCTAGCTTGTCCTGGCTGACCCCGTTGGAGCTGCTGCAGTTCTCCACTAAGGTGCTGGTCTCCTCCCGGTGTAGCGCAGCCTCCCCATCCCCGGGTGGCTGCTCGGGCTTGGAGCCGCTGCGGGAGTGCTGCCTGCTGCTGTGCGAGTGCCCGTGGCCGTGGGAATGGCCGTGGCCCCCCACGCCGTGGTGGTTGAAGAGGCAGAGCCCCAGCAGGTTGATGATGAGCCCCGCCACCCCCACGCCGATGACCACCAGCGGCTGCTGGATCTCGTGGGGCTCGGTGAAGCGCTCGATGGCCTCCAGCAGGATGGTGAAGCACAGGGCGGTGAGGAAGACGGCGTTGACGAGGGCACCCATCACCTCAGCCCGCACCCACCCGAAGGTGTTCTTCTTGGTAGCGCGGGTG